CCCCCCCCCCCCCCCCCTCTTTTTCGCATTCCCCTTTTTTTTATATTTCCATGGGAATAATCAGGCGCGAGCCAAACTTTATTATACCAATTTGAGATTTCCGATCCTTTTTGCTTTCTCATCTTCACTCACGGAGGGAAGCCCTCTCGGTTTTAGTCGAGCCCCATTAGCAGGAGTTATTTAGGTAGCATTTTACATAGCAATGCATATGTTTTTTAACCTGGTTTGGGAGCATGCTGTGAGTTTGCAATGTGAGCAGACAACGGATGAGTAGATTAAGGTGGCTTGCCTGAGCGGGCCCTGTCCACGGTGATCTAGTTGTCAAGGTATGTGTATATTTCCGTCTTCCGTAGAGGTATACAATTATTGTACAAGTTTGATGAGATGTATTTAGATCTCGTGGTGGTAGGAGCTTCTCGTCCCTAGCCAAATTTTGAAGCCGTTTTCTCGCCCAACCCGTCTCTTCATGGCTTTTACTTCGTTGCTTTTCCCCTCCATCGCACACAAAATGCCGCCATTGTGGACTGCGATGTCCGCTCAGTTGGCGCCTTTCAGGGCCTGGCGCGTAAGCCCGGCCCTGCTCGAAACCAGCTCCCAGTCGACCAGCTCCCACCACGCCTCGGCGAAGCCGGCCTTGCCACCGCTACCCCCCGCGCCGACGCCCCAGTCCAGCAGCCAGGCGTGCTCCCAGGTGTTGAGGCACAGCAGGGGCTGCAGCTCGATGCCGCCCGGCGGCAGGTTGCCGGCGCGGTGCTGCGCGCCCTGGAGCTGGTTGCGGAAGTAGGAGCGGGCGCTGCCCTGGTCGCCCACCGTGTTCATGTCGGTGGGCTGGGCGCGCCAGTGGGCGCCCGGGTAGGGGGACCCGGCGAGGTAGGTGGACAGCACGCGGTAGGCGGCGGGGCCGGTCTTGACGAGCCACACGAAGCCGGGGCCGAACATGGCCGAGGCCGTGAGAATCATCTCGCGGCGGAGCGTCTCGACCGAGGAGAAGGAGGCCTCGAGCTCGGCGCGCAGCTGCTCGGGCATGACGACGGGCGCGGGGGCGATGCCCTGGAAGAAGAAGTGGTTGTTGTGCGCCATGGAGGCGTAGTTGAAGATGGGGGCCTGGTTGGGTTCGCGGGCGGTCATGAGCGCGATGGTCTTGGCGTCCTTGTCTTCGAGTTCGGTACCTAGAGGGGGACGGTCGCTGTCAGCATGGAAGACTTTCGGCGGCCATGTCGCGCCCGATATTGCGCGGGACGACTCGACCGGGGCAACGGCCCGAGGGCTGAACACGAACCGGCTGTCAGGGCGTTGAGCTTCTCTACCGTCAGCGCCATGTACTCTGACCAGGCAATGTTGAAACCGCCGGGGCTCATGAGGCTGGGAACTCCCTCGGAGAAGTCATGCGCGAGCGTCGGTACATGGTGGATGGCGCGAGCGGCGAGGGGCGCGGCGAATCTGGGAGCTGTCGAGGTCGTGGAGGGTCGCAGGCTCTGAGCGAGGCCCAGGCCGGACGTTCTTAACCGTGAGCGGAACATGTGTGAGAACTGAAGAACGGGTACCGGAGGCGTAGGAGAAGAGAATTACAGCCGCGAAAAGGAAGACGAGCGGGCGCAATTCGTGATCAGACACTGATTGAACTGGTCGTGGGCAATTGGTCGCGCGACTGCTCTATGGTGACTTTTTTCTGGTGCAGAGCGGCCCCTTTCGGAATCTGGAGCTACGTTGAGCCGATGGAGCCGCCTGAGTTAGCACGTTACGGGTCTGTGACGGCTTGATGACGGGTGCCTGTGATTGACACTGTAGGTATAGGTAGAGATTTTTCTTTTTCACATTTCCATAAAAATATTTGTAGATAGATTGTCATATCTCTGATAATTTGATCTATCTCTCTTTTTGTTCAGTAAAACGAAATAAAAGTTTAGGTAAATATCTCAGCCATAGACAGGTGCATTGCTGCTAAATGCCTACTGGTAAGGCTCCCTACCCAAGCTGACACACACAGGGCTAGACACTAAGCCACTGCCGGCCTCGTAACGCTGGCACGCTAAGCCCAACACCTGCCACATCCTAGACGTAGATATGATCTGGTGATGCCGTCCACGAGGATCCCCTCCTTCACATCATCACTATTACTTTTTGGGGACCCTCGACACTCGCATCGTGAAAACTAGCAGGTGCTGCGTTCTCACCGCCTCCACAACATCCAACTGCATGGCCTCAATATTCACGAACGTCTGACGCCCCTGTGCGTTTTCTATACAGAGAAGCGGAGGCCGAAAACACGCCGCGGTTCTTGTCCTTGTTTCAGCCTGCAAAGGGCATATCGAACGACAACTAGCCTCACCTGCAACGATACCTCCGCCATCCTGCTGCATTACCAACCCCCCAGGAAGATTCTTCACCGTCAACCGCCTACCCCCATCGTCCACGAACCCCGAGACTGTTCTCGACCTTGACACATCTATACATCCACCATGGACGCTCTGAGAGCAGCCGCCATCGGTGTCGACCATCCCGACGCGGGGGGCCTCGTCACCGCCCTCGCATCCAGCACCGTGGCTATCTCGACGGCCACCTCGTTGCTCTTCGTCACTGCTGCCTCGCCAACCGCCACACCGTCGCCGCCGCCGCCGTCCAGCCCCCACGACTCCGAGGGCGAGTGCCAACTGCTGGGGTCCTTTGCGCTGCTCGTCCAGGCCGCCCTCGGGGGCCTCGCGCTGCTGGCCCTCGTCTACAAGCGCTGGCGGGAGCGGCCCCAGCGGCCCGTCAAGATCTGGGCCTTTGACGCCTCCAAGCAGGTCTTTGGCTCCGTGCTCGTCCACATTGCCAACATCTTCATGTCCATGCTCACCAGCGGTCGCTTCTCCATCACCGCCGCCAACGTCGTCAGCCGTGGTACCACCGCTTCCGCTGCTGCCGCGCCCTACATGCCCAACCCGTGCTCCTTCTACCTCCTCAACCTGGGCATCGATGTGAGTAGAGACCATGCCCCTCGGCAAACGTTCAAACTTGTGTGTTCTCGCGCATACTAACTAGCTAAAAAACAGACAACCCTGGGTATTCCCATCCTCATCGGACTCCTCCACCTCCTGACCGCCGTCGTCGCTCTCACGCCTGTCGGTAAGCCCCGCGAGTCGATCCAGTCCGGCCACTACGGCAACCCGCCCAACGCGTGGTGGTGGCTCAAGCAGTCCGTCATTTACTTTTGCGGCCTCTTCCTCATGAAGATCTGCGTACTCATCATCTTCATCACCATGCCATGGATATCCAAGGTCGGTGACTGGGCGCTCAGCTGGACCGAGGGCAACGAGAAACTGCAGATCGCCTTCGTCATGATGATCTTCCCCCTCATCATGAACGCCCTGCAGTATTACATCATCGACTCCTTCATCAAGAAGCCCATCTCCGAGACCGATCCCCTCGATGACGATGAGCATCGCCAATTCCGCCCGCTCCGTCCCGACGACGACTCGCTCCAAGACCTCGACAGCGATGGCGACGCTGACGACGAGGCGCCGCTGGTCGACAAGGCGTCTACCAGGACGAGGACTACGAAGGCCGGGAATGCGGGTCGACGGGGCGCCGGCAGCGAAGAGTACGACCCGGACCTGGACGGCGACGCGAACACAATCATCGGCAGCAGCTCATCAAGCACTGGTGCCAAGCCCTCGACGCCGGTGACGATGAATCTCTTGCCCAAGGAATGAACCACCTTTTCGATACTACTTCCGTTCCTGTAAAACTCCGCAAAGCACTTGGATACAGCGATTTTGTTTTTAAAACAGCCGTTCATTCTTGATTAACTGTCCTCTGCCTCTGATTTTTTTTTGTCTCCGCTCTTTTTGTGTTTTCTCATACTCGCAGGCGTTTTGGCCATTGCATTTTATATTTCGGAACAAATGTCCCCATGGGAAAGGCGCTTGTACTAGATAAGTAGATGGCTATAAATATACAGAAGAGCAATTACAGCGCAAATTCTGCCTTGACGGGCGACGTATTCCCGTTCTAAACGTGACTTGACTAGTAACGATCCGTGGGCTATAGTGGAGTCAGAAAAAGGCGTGGTAGTTGACACACGAGATGATAACAGTAGTGATAATCAAAAAGGATAGGACAACGTTATCGACGTGCCATGTTGAAGAAGCGATCCATGGAGAAAAGAAAGGGTTCGTTATGAATTGAAGAAGAGTAAGTAAATAAAAAGAACGTAAAAAGATAATATAGTTGTATCATCAGGTTGAAGAGAATGGAGTCCCTGTCAAGAGGAGAAAACGCCAGATATATATAGTCAGAATATATGCAAATTTTCTTGTTCCCACCATGATCAAAACACGCCAGTCCGCCGATCAATAGGTAGAAAAATTCATAGTTTGCCAAGCAAACATTTGTTCAGTTGCGAGTTTCGCTCCTGCCATTACGCTTGGAGTTCATCCCAGTCCGGAAGCATCTTTCTTTTTCGTTTAGTAACCGTTCCAGCCACCCTGGCCTTGGTTGTTGTACGCTCGAGGCTGGCCCTGGAAGCCTTGCTGTTGCGGCGGCGGTTGGCGCCGCTCGCTGTTCGCGGTTTGTGGCCGCGAGAAACCAGAGGTGAAGTCGAATCCGGCATTGTTGGTGATGGGTGATTGCGGCTGGGGCTCGGCAAACGCCGTTTGCCCGTTGGGTCGGCCGATGGGCACGTTATGATCGGGACTGCGTGCTTGCCGCGGGGCGGGCGAGTATGTGCGGTTAGGGTCGGGGCCCTGGTTGAAGCCGGGACGGCTGTATGGGCTCTCGTTATGCGCTGGTGTAGTGAGAGGCGAAGGGTTAAAGGGCTGATCAGCTCGTGGGCCGAGACCGCGTCGAGGTCCAGCGCCGGGACCGGGAGAACCACGAGGCCCCGGTGATCTGGGAGACATGGAACTAGGAGAGTTTCTCCCGCGAGCATCAATGCCATATGGCGGCCGGGGGCCCATATTCGACGGGGCTGCATTATCGCCAGTACGCTGACGTCTCATGCCGTAGCCGTCAGGGGCTGATCTGCTGTCGGTAGGGGATTGGCCGTACTGCCCATACTGCCCAGCACCTGAGCCACTAGAAACAGCGCTCACGACGGAGTGCTCTTGAGCGTCGTAGACTTCGGGTGCATCATGACGAGACAGGGCCGCGGGACTCTGCGCAGGAGGGCTCCGGCTAGCAGGCTGAGCAGCAAGCTCGGCAGCAAAAGAGTGAGGCGAGCCCTCCGCGTGCTTTGTTTGGGTCGGACCAATATATCCGCCATCAAGCTCAATTGGGGCCACCTGGTCGGTCGCCATCTCGTAAGCAATAGGCTCCGGCTTCTTAGGCTCTTCATGTACGGGAGCCTTGGTCATGGCGCCGGCAGACATTTCGGCAAAAGCAGCATGGACGTTGACTTGGGGCTGCTCCTGACGCCTCGGTTCGTTGGGCATCTCGACGAATCCGCCTTCCTGGCCGCTAAATGGATTGGGTTCAGCAGAGAGCTCAGTATACGGCGACACTGGTTGTGGCTGAGGAGTGCCGTAGCCGCGGGACCCTGGTGCGGGGGACTGGTGTCGCATAGCCCCGGCGGCGAGGGCGGCGCCAGCTAACCCACCAGCGAGCCCTGCGCCGGCCATTGCCGCACCGGAGTGGCCCCCATCATGGCCACCAGCACTGGCGCCAGGCGAATCGTATGGTTGGTCGAGGCCATAGCCATCTGCCAGGCGGTTGGCGTTGTACTCATGAGGCACATTGAGATTCTGACCCGGGCCTTGGTTGTAAGCATTGTTGTATGCGTTATTGCCATAGCCACCAGGGCCGCCGGGGCCGCCGGGCCCTCCTTGGTTGTAGCCTTGATTATTACCATATCCAGGCTCGTTGAGGGGACTGACAGGTCGTTGCCCGTATCCTCCCGGGCTTACAGCAAGATTGTTCGCCATGTAGCCTCGTCCAGGGCCCCCAGGCCCGCGGTTTGGAGGATTGTAGGGACCCCGGCCGTCGGCAGCATTCATTGGGCTAACTGCGCCAGCGGCGGGTAAGCCTGTACGTGGGTCATGTGTTGGTTTCTTGAGCTGGTTCATTTCGACAGCGTTGTCCTCCTCAACCAGAACCTTTCTGGATCCCGCTCCTTCCCAGCTAGGCATTTGCGGCAACGAGTCTTGGTTCTTGGGTGTATCGAAGGAGGCATACTGCGGCGTCTCGTGATGCTGAGGAGGCGGGTGAAACGAGGGCTGCATAGGCGCCTGTGGCTGATAACCGTGATGAGGAGGGATATAGGGCTCGTCGAGGTACTTGTGTCGACGACCGCCCGGAGGATCGCAACATCCGCAACAGTTTCCGCAGCACTTGAAGCACCGGAAGCAGCCGCAACAACATGATTTGGCGCAACAGCAACAACGGGCAATACACCATAATATCGAGAATATGATAAGGCTGCCTATAATTATGATTGCGATGACGGGCCACCTAGTCCAAAAGTTAGTACATGCAATGCAGATGGGCAAACTTGACGCGAAGTACATACTTGCAGTAGGCAGCCTGCATGCAATTGTCCCAGCTAGAAAAGGCAGTTTTGACATCGCCGACTTTCTGCTGTGTATCACCAACAAGGTCGCGCTTATGAGCCTGGGCGACGAGATGTCTTGCGAACACATGAGTAATGGCCTCCCAAGCAGTTGGTTGCAGGCTGCGCGCCATTGCGAGTTCGATGGAAGACATTTCGACGGTGTTGAGGCCGAAACGAGTGTACGGACGAGGCAATTCGGTCGAGTGGGCGATAGCGTCACAAGACGGCTCGTACGGGCTGCGGTGACTTGAACGGTTGCTGTTTAAATGGACATTCCGAATTCGCAGGCGGTTGTGGAGGCGTGAAGGAGTAAAAATTAGAATTGGCGGGTAGAATGATATAGGCGGGCAGACAGGGTCAGGCGCTTGGATGCAGAATAGGTCCCAGGTTGAACAGCTTAGAGCGAGAGGTCGAAAGGCCAAGAGCGGGGGCAATGAGATGATGGCACAGCGCGCCGGATATGTCTTGGGAAGAGGCGGGCGTATCTTGAGTGTCGGCTGACCAGGAGTTTCTGTTCGGGCAGGCTGCGCGAAGCCACCAGCGAAAGCCGTTTAGCGCGGCTATGATGTGGCTTTGGTATATGGATGGGATACGAGGTTCGAGGCTTCCGGAGCCGTGGCGTCGCGGATGCTAATGGTGTACAAGCAAGCTCGTAGATTTCGGCGAAGAAAGAGGCGAAAAGGAAGGAATATCGCTAGTCGGTCGAGTGAGGAGAGTCGAGGCGTCGATCGAGGCGCAATGTCCTGGGTTGGCGCAAGAAGGCCGAGGTCGTACTGTAACAAAGTGGCGTGGTACCAAGCGCAACGCAGGCACTTGGGAGTTTCAGGACAAGAAGAATGGAAGAATGGAAGAAAAAAATGTATAAAAAGAAGACGAAATAAATGAGTGACGTATGGCGAGGACGACGGTCGCCTGGTGGAAGAGGAGTTCGTACTCAACCTCGGCCGTGGGCGAAGATGGTGAGGAAAGAAGAAGAAAGGAGGAAATAGTACAGGTGGTCGGTCTACCTAGGAAGCAGGGGCTCAGAGTCGAACCCCAGACAGATGGACCATTTCTAGGATGAGGCGGAGACGAGGTTGTACTAGTAATGTCGAGGAGAAGGGGGGGCGGGCGAAGCGTAGTCGGCAATGCGAGAAGTAAGTCGAGAAGAGGAATGGAAGATCGGACAAAGGATAGGGAAGAAGAAAGGGAAAAACGAAAGCACAGCCCCCCCTCATTGGTTTGGTTTGGTAGGTGCAACAGAACAGCGCGGGAAGCGGTATTTCTTGGTGCGTCCCAGTGGACCCGACCGCTGAGAAGGAGCCACTGCAGCCGCTAAGGCAGGTACAGAATCCACTAAACACCTGCGTGGGCGCCCCGGAGTTGGGCTGCAAATGCCCTGTAGCATTTTCGCCATAGGCCCCCAAGCAGGGTCCTGAGCACTGACCTGACGTGAGCCCCTCCGGGGAACAAGGCCCTGTGCCTGTAAAAGTGGACAGTTATGGGCTTGGCATCAATTTGGCTTGGAATTAATTAGTCGCCAAGATATAATAGTACTATGGTTTGCGCATTTTTATTGCCTTTTTGAAGTTTCTAGTTCCTAGGCCTTTTTTGTTATCTTTTCTCTGCATCGCATTTCGTCGCATTCCCACTCACTTGCGTATCTCCAGCAAGACACGTCGTGCCATCATCCCCTGAAGCGCCCCCTTGTGACGACGTCACTAACAAGCAAACTGCCCGACGATCTATTGTTGGACGGTAAATTATTCCCCAACTTCTGCCGCTCCAAATGCCGCTAACAATGTCCATCTTTCTTCCCCAAGAAAAAAAAAATGTAAGAAAATCATTTCCAATTCTGCCTTGGATGAGGAGCCCTTTCCATTCTGCTCCACGTCAGCAAACCCACCAATTCCCCGCTGACCCCTTGCCGGCTAGCCATCCGTCAATACCGTTGACGTGCAATTCCCGGTCACCGACTGTCCCAATGCGCCCGGGCTTTGGGAGCAGACATTTTTCGTCACTGGTCGGCCAAAGAAACATCCATCGACTCAATATGTAAACCCGACTTATTTACATCCGTCCCTTGCCGCCCATTTCGCTTCTTCACCTAATCGGCCTCACTCCCTCCATACTCAAAGAAAACACGGATAGTGTTGAATATGAGACAACTGCTGCGCTGGCATGCTGCTGGCTCCCAGTACTCGCTCGGACCTTGTGGATATTTGTTTCCTCTTCTGTAACGACGGCGCCCAGCTCTCACGATCGGAAACAGCATGGGCCGGGCAGTCGTAAGCTTTGCTTCAAACATTGTTATTCCGGCGGCGGAACTGCAGTGATCAAGAGTAGGCTTGCTTGGTTACATGACCAGCGCAGCGCCAGGTTGCATATCTTCTCAGGTTTCATGATGAGCACTCCTACGTCCGCCATAGTTTGCGTTATTTGTTGTGTTTTGAGCTTTTGATTAGCAAGGACAAATCTCCGTTGGCGTTCGGTGGATGAGTTGTAGTTGTTGGCCGTAGGAGACGGGCAACGTCGAATATTGTCCGTGTTCCGCCCAGCGTCTTCCCAGCTATACGCTTCATCTCTCGTTGTTGACTACACCCCTGCACATTGCCCGGGTACTGACACGTTCATGTTTTTCTAAGTAGACATCAATGGTCATACTAGCCTTGTCATATTTGCATCCTTGGTACATGATGATAGTTCAAGGCTGTAATAATGATATTGAAACCAATTTGGCCGTTTATTTCCATCAGCGGAGCAATAGCATATTGTTTCATGTTTATACGTCAGCACATAAAAACAATCATGATAAGAATGATTGATTCCACGAGGCCTCAGCTACCAACGCGGTTCTCTGACGGACTCACAGAGGAACTCTACATGCATGGCGACTTGTCAAGTATAGAAGTGACGCAATGCACAGTCGCTTGGCATCCAATCCTACCTTAAATCTTAAAATTCGTAATATGCCTTACCAGTATCCCCCATCCCCACGATGCCCTCATTTATTGGCAGCTGGCTTTGCGTACGTAGGTGCCTAGGGTACCTTGCAGGGTACCCCCACCTAACGGCATGAATCATTTAGCGCTGCTACTGTAGATAGCTCTCACCTGGTACAACGGGCGCAGTCACTTTGGCGAGCATCATCAGATGAATTTGAACCTGCAAATCCCATATGTCAAAATGATTTCGTAATAACGAAGCTTTGCTATTATTATGTGGCTCGCCGTTGACAATTGTTAACAGGGCCTCGTGGGGGTGGCACCCTCTCTGAGTGGCGCCGTTGTTGGCTGCTGACCACTAGCGTCATCCCGTCTTCCTGTTTGTGGATATTGCTTCTTTTGTTGCCTTGATCTTATTATCTACCATGTGTCCTCCTCAGCCATTCCCAACACCAGCTCTCTGCTTCACGACACAAAATTACAGAAGCTTGCTGGCTTCTAGCTGTCGCTGCAATGCGTATTCCTCAGCTTGCCTGGCTCCTGACCGCCGTCACCGGTGTCGTCGCATCAACAGCACCCTCTACCGACGGTGTCGCGGCCTTCATCAAACGCAGGCTGCCGGACCATGCCGACCGCTTCCAGCTGAGCATAGCGACTGCCCCCTCGGCCACAGCCTCGGCCGCGACTAATGATAGCTACAGCGTGTCAAGTGACAGCAATGGCAGGATTCACATTGAGGGCACATCGCCGAGCGCCATCATGCAAGGGTGAGTTTCGTGCCGTAGCGCGCATCAGACGACGGAGATGCGCATAAGACGGTCCTGCCGCCTTGATCTTGGCGCGTTTGATCTGCTAACCGCGCAAAACTCTACAGGCTGCATCGTTACCTTGCAGATGTCGCCCATGTCGACATCTGGTGGTTTGTCGGGAGCGACTTGCACAAGGCCCCCAGGACGCTGCCGCGCCTGGACAAGAACCTCGAAGGCTCTAGCATTGTCCAGTATCGCTACCACTGGAACACGGGTTCGTCGTACAGCATGACGCGTCTATCCATGGGATCTAACCAAAATTTACAGTGACGACCTCGTACACCAGCGCTTTCTGGTCATGGGAAGACTGGGAGCTCCAGCTCGACTGGATGGCCTTGCGCGGCGTCAACCTTGCCCTTGCGTGGATTGGCGTCGAAAAGATCTTTACCGACGTGTTCCTTGATATTGGCCTCACCCACACGGAGATTAACTCTTTCCTCAGCGGTCCCGCGTTCTTGGCTTGGCAGCACTTTGGTAACATCCAGGGCTCCTGGGGTGGAGATTTGCCCCAAGCCTGGATCGAGGACCAGTTCGAACTGCAAAAGAAGATTATCAAGCGTATGGTCGAGCTGGGAATGACGCCAATCCTTCCCGCCTTTCCTGGATTTGTCCCTGAAAACATCACCCGTGTCTGGCCCAACGTCAGCCTGGCCGAGAGCCCCGTATGGAGCGGCTTCTCCGGCCGCTTCACCGCGGACAAGTACATCACACCGTATGACCCGCACTTTGCCGAGCTGCAAAAGGCATTCATAACCAAGCAAAACGAAGCCTACGGCAACGTGACCAGCTTCTGGACGCTCGATCAGTTTAATGAGAACAAGCCTGCCTCGGGCGAGCTCGACTACTTGAAGAATGTCAGCCACAATACCTGGAAGACACTCAAAGATGCCGATCCCAGTGCCGTGTGGGTGATGCAAGGCTGGTTGTTCGCTTCGGACAAGGCGTTCTGGACTGACGAGCGTGTCAAGTCCCTCCTTGACGGTGTCCCCGTGAATGAGGACATGCTTCTCCTCGACCTTTTCGCCGAGTCCACCCCTCAGTGGCAGCGGACGGATTCTTTCTACGGCAAGCCTTGGATTTGGTGCCAGCTACACGACTATGGAGGTAACATGGGTCTCTACGGCCAGATTGAAAATGTTACCAAGAATGCCGTCGAGGCTGTTCACCAGTCCAAGTCTATTGTCGGGTTTGGTCTGTCCATGGAGGGTCAAGAAGGCAACGAAATTATGTACGATCTTCTACTAGATCAAGCGTGGAGCAAGGATGCCATTGAAACCGACAAGTACTTTCATGACTGGGTCACGGTTCGTTATGGAGCGGATCATAAGGAGATCCCCGAGGACCTGTACACTGCTTGGGACAAGGTCCGATCCACCGTCTACAACAACACTGATGCCTCCATCACTGCGGTTACAAAGTCCATTTTTGAGCTCGTCCCTAGTACCAGTGGCCTTGTCAACCGAACTGGTCACCATCCCACCAAGATTAGCTACGATACGAAGAGCCTCATCAGCGCCTGGAATGACATGTTTAATGCCGGGAACCAGGCGACCTGGCTCTTCGAGAACGAAGCCTACCGGTATGATCTGGCCGATTGGACTCGTCAAGTGCTCGCCAACGCTTTTGAGGCGACGTACAACAAGCTCATACAAAAGTACAAGGACAATAACATCAAGGGCGTCAAGTGCGCCGGCGGCAAACTTCAGGCGATCCTTCAGACCATGGACCAAGTCCTCGAGACCAGCCCCCATTTTCAACTCTCCACCTGGATCCAGGCGGCACGCAAGAGTGGCGGCGACGCTGCCGACTTTTTCGAGTACAACGCTCGGAACCAGATCACGCTCTGGGGCCCCAATGGCGAGATTGAGGATTATGCCTCCAAGCAGTGGGCCGGCCTCATCGGCGACTACTACGCCCACCGCTGGCAGATGTTTGTGGACTACCTCGTGGCGACGCACCCCAGCGACTACGACCAAAAGGCATTTAAGAAGAAGCTCCTGGAGTGGGAGACGCAGTGGAACAACAAGACGATGCATGCCCAAGTCGACGTCGTCGACGGTGCTAGCAAAAACAATGTGCAAATTGTCCTGCGTGACACGGCAAAGAATTTATTGGATATCTTCCAGGTTTGAACTTCGAGTGTACATAGTTAATTAGACCATATAGACTATTGGATAATCACTACCATATTATTATCAAGCACCCGCGGCTCAAGCACCCGCGGCCTACAGAGCATCAGCCCACTCAAGCATCGTGCTTGGGTCCAGCCTCTTGCTCCAGTCCGGGTCGGCATGCACATTCCTGACCACGCCGGCCTTGTCTATCAGCAGGTTGGCCGCCACCGGCAACTCACGCGAGTCATCGCCGTTGCGAGCCACCTGGTCGACCCCCATCGCCCGGGACACCTCCCCCAGCGCCTCCGGCTGGCGCCAGACCAGCCCCAGCTGCCGCGCCACGTCGTTGCCGCGGTCCGAGAGCACCTCTAACCGCAGTGCCTGCTTCTCCACCGTCGACAGCGACGCGTCCGGCAGCTCCGGCGATAGGGCAATCAGCGTGACGCCTCGGGCGCGAAAGTCGTCGGCGCGGCGCTGCAGGAACGACAGCGCGACGTTGCAGTAGGGGCACCACCCACCGCGGTAAAAGGTGACGAGCACGCCGCGGTCGGCGGCGGCGAGGAGATTGGAGAGGGAGACGGGGGCGCCGAGGGCGTTGGGGAGGGTGAAGGCGGGAAAGGGCGTGCCGGGCTGGATGACGAGGGAGGGGTTGAAGGTGAGCTTGAGGTCGTCGATGGCGGTGAAGATGAGGGAGCTAATGTTTTCGGGGACGTCGGTGCGGACGTGATTTTCGATTTTGGCAAGGGCTTCAGTCTGGGAAGTCATTTTGAGAAAGAGATGGATTTTATAATGTTGGAATAGCTTCTGTATAAGACGGCTGAATGTGGGAGGTAGAGGAGTTGGTGAGGAGCAGGGAGTGAGAGGTACCGAGCAGCGTATTATATGGACTCAGGGCCTGGATGCGCTCACGCGGTAAGTTGATAAAAACTTACACATATGCCTGATTGAATGTCGTAAAACTCGATTACATATCCTTTAATTGTTAATAACTTGCAGACTTGCAAACCGTTATACCACGAGGCGGAGCCCCACTTTCGTGCGAGGTTGTCGGTCGAATTTTACAGGACATATACAGGACATTCTCCTGCAATTACCGTGCTAAAGTGGTCCTAGCTGCTAAGGACTGTCCGTCAAATTCTAAAACACACCTTGTAAAGTTGAAACGTCGCCCCGAGCCCGACCGAAGCAGATATTCACGACCTCTTCCACCATTCCTCCCAGCATGCTACTAAATAAAGCGCCAAACGTGAACTACCAGGATCAAAGACGTTAGCTGACGAGGATCCCCATCATTTGCTCTGGATTAGCCCGTTTGTGGAGTGCCGCCGCCGGTGTTAGGCCATCGGCATTTTCACGCAGTCCGCCCACCCCTCCCGCAGCCATGGGCGTGCCCGGGAAGCGCATGCGCCTCGGCACCAAGAGCTGCGCCGAGTGCCGACGACGCAAGGTCCGGTGCATCGTCCGGCCGGGGCAGGACCGGTGCGACGCCTGCCGCGCGCATGGCAGCAGCTGCGTTCCGCAGGAGAAGCAGCCCCGGGACGACGACGCCTCCCCGCCGACGTCGTGGGGGAGCGACGACGTCGCCGCGCTCAAGAAGAGGCTGGACGAGCTGGAGGCTCTAATGAGGGGCCTCCCGGGAGACATGCTTTCCCACAGCGTCCACGGGGCTGAGCCCGCCGCTGGGCTCACCGACGGAAGCACCGCAGCGGCCGTGTCAGACTCGCCGCCTTCTGCCGGGGCTTTCCAGCAGCAAGACAGCCTCACCTTTCCATCGTTAATCAGCACGACGCAAATCAGCCCCGCGCTTCAGAACTCGCCCTTGCTCGGCCTCTTCAACGCGTCCTCCATCTTCGACCCCGTCGAGTTCGCAGACGACGCACCGCCGCCGCTCACCCCGAGCGCCTCGTCGCGGCTGCGACGATGCCTCGCCGACTTCGCCCCGTTCTTGCCGCGCCCGGAGCGCGTCGCCGCCTTCTTCGCCGCGACGCAACAGCACTGGCCCGTCTGGCCTCCGTACTTCCACGGGTCCGGCGACGCCGACCGGCTCGCGCCGGGCCAGGTCCCCTTGGCGGAGCGCACCTTTCACGGCGCGCTCGTCTCCGGCCGGCCCGGCCAGACGGCCAAGGCGGTCCTCTTCCTCGCGCTGTGCATCCAGCAGACGCCGAAGCACCTGCTGCCGCTGCCGCCGTCGGTGCGCCAGCGGGACCTGGTGGACACGTACGCCGAGACGGCGCGGGAGCTGCTGCAGCTGGACGAGGACGAGGGCACGCTGGACGGCGTGGAGGCGATGAACATGCTGCACAAGCTGTCCGTCAACGCGGGCCGGCCGCTGCGCGCGTGGTCCTGGAACAGACGGGCGATCGCGGCGTCGCTGCGCTGCGGACTGCCGGGGAGGGCGGGGCGCGGGGGCGAGCAGCGCGCCG